TTTAAAATGATGTGTCTGTTAGGATGTCCACCGTCCACTCAGATTCTCTTCTCTCCTATCCCCTTCTCCTACCATTCCATTTGCCCTTGGTCCTTACAGGATTTATCACTAGGCCCCAAAGATACCAGAATCCTGGAATAGAAAGAGAGAAGTTATCAAGTACAACAGTTCCCACTATATTCCCCCTCATAGCAACATTAAATATGATAAAACAACTCTCTAGCAACAGACCCAGGAAGCTGGCTACTCTCGTCAAGCCTTATGCCAGCAAAGTGAAATAAAAACAAGAGTTGAATGTAAATTGCAAAGATGTGTAATTTCCGCTGAAGAAACAACTCCTATTTTTCTACACAAGCCCAACTTTCCCCAAAATTCCACTGGCTCCTTAAGATTATGCTAATACTGAAGTTGTAGGGGGGGTGGGGGTGGGGAAAGAACCATGGTAGAAGAGGAAAAGAAGGCAAAGAGAAGAGAGGAGAGAAAATTTGTGAATACAAATTAACTGTGGCCTAGCTACTATGGAAAACAGTATGGAGATTTCTCAAAAATTTGAAAATAGAATTACCATATGATTTAGCAATTCCACTTTTGGGTATTTATCTGAAGAACGTGAAAACACTAACTTGAAAAGATATACGCACCCCTATGTTCATTGTAGCATGATTTACATTAGCCAAGATATGGAAACAACCTAAGTGTCCACTGATGAATGAATGGTAAAGAAAATGTGGTGTATGTATGTATGTGTATATATTTACAATGGAATATTATTCTGCCACAAAAAAGCATGAAATCTTGCCGTTTGCAACAACATGGAGGACCTCAAGGGCATTATGCTAAATGAAATAAACCAGACCGGGAAAGACAAAGACCATATGATCTCAGCTATATATGGAATCTAAAGAATGAAAAATCTCAAAACACAAAAAACCAAGCTCATAGAAACAGAGAAGACACCGGTGTCTGCTAGAGGCTGGATTTTCTGGGGATGGTTGAAGGGTGTCAAAAGATACAAGCTTCCAGTTATAAAATAAGTCATGGGGATGTAATGTACAACATGGTGACTATAGGTAATAACATTGCATTACATACTTGAAAGTTGCTAAGAAAGTAAAAAAGTAGATCTTAAGATTTTCATAAGATAAAAGAATGTCATAACTATGTAAGGTGATGGATACTAACTAGAGTTATTGTGGTGATCATTTCACGATTACACAGCTATTAAATCATTATGTTGTACACCTGAAACTAATATCATATGTCAATTATACATCAATAAAAAATAAAAATTAATTGTGGATAAAATTTTATACTAAGAAATATTAAAAATAAAAACACTGGATAAGGCAAAACAGATTACTATCTAAAAGGTAAATCATACACTATAAATCAATAATAACGTGCATGGGGGGATGTCAACAAATAAAGTAAATACAAGAAAGTAAAAAGTGAAGAGAAGGCAAAATCTAAATTAAAGGAAATAAAATTCAAATAATTTTAGAAGTCTTGTGGTCAAGAAGAAAACAATTTGGTGGGGGAAAGGTTTTTGAGAAAGTTTAAAGAAATGTAATTATTTATAGTGTCTTTTACCAATCTAAAACACTTCGTGATTTTGAGAACATGAAATGTAACCTATGTAACTTGATTTGATAACTAAAGTAATCATGCTTGACATATTAAAAACTGCAATTGTATCAGATTATTGAAATTAAAAAAAATTTTTTTTAAAACAGGTACCAACTCTGGAACTTAATGTTCTGGGTTTTTTTAAAGGTTTTATTTTAAGTAATCCCTATACACAATGTGGGGCTCGAACTCACAACACCAAGATCAAGAGTTTCATGCTCTACCAAATGAGCCAGCCAGGCACCCCTGGAACTTATTGTTAATGTAAGACAAACAAGATGAAACCTAAGAATATAAGAAGCCATAAACTTCAGCATTTAGCAAGTGATGTTAACTGGGCTTATTTTTTCCCTACCTACTGGATATAAAAATCTTCTTTAAAAGACACCAAGGAGCAGACATCAAAAGAAACACTCCCTGGACATTCTTGCCTCCTAGATGTTTGTCTAATAAACAAGCTTGAGACAAAATGTCTGGCTACCACAGAATAGGTATATATGTTTGAGATGATCATTTCTCCTCTCTGGGTCTCATGTTTCATCTTTAAAATCAGAGGGTTGGATCAGACTGCCCGCTGGTTCTAATTTAACATGATAATTCAAAAGCCACTGTAGTGAGGACTGTGGTTCCAGACTGCCTCCCCACAGAATTCCTTCAGGTATAAAGTGCTGATTCCAACTTCTGGGACTAGTGGTGATTGACGGCTCTTAGCTGCATCCCTGTCTAGGAACTGCCCTTCAGAGAGATCCACCCAGCTCAAGGTTATGCCCCCTTCCTGGAAGCAACTTGCATCCAGTGACTGGTCCCTTTAGGGGACATAAAGTCTGGGCCATCTTGCCTCAATTCAGGATATAAGGCCCTCGGGGCCCTGCAACTCCCTGTGGTATCAGTTGAGGTCTCAGTGGGACCTGTTTCACGGTTCAACTTTCCCCCCTGCCCAATTCTGCTTCCTTCATTCCCTACGAGGCACTGAACCTAAGCACACACCCCAATAAACTTCCTGTGAAGCAAATATCCACATTTGGGTCGGATTTCTCAGGGACGTGACACGGAACAGGCACTAAATCTCTTACTTCTTGGAGGCAGAACTGTTTTATTCTGAGTTTTGGACTGTATTTCTTGTTCTCAAAATCAGGAACTATGGGGCTGATACTACTATCCAATAATTATTTTCACAAAACATACTAACACATTATAAAATTATTTCAGAAGAATAGGATTAGGTAGGAATGTAGAAACACTACATCTGAAGATAGTCATTCATTACTTTAACAATAAAAAATGTATATTATAGTCTAATTTTTAAAGAAAAAAATGAGTAAATTTTTTTCCAACCTTTGCTTCTCTAGGGAAAATAAAACCTAGTACTAATAACTAAAAAAATAGGGCTATAAAGAATAGGAAAAACTACAGAGCAAACAAAACAAAACAAAAAAAGCAGTAATTGTTTTAATAATAAAAGAGGTAAAAAAATAAGAAGCAGAGAATTGAAAAATGAAATACAAATGAAAATACACATTTTTTAAGAATCCTCAGTTAGAAAAACAATTAAAAGGCATACATAATAAAGTCATCACTCAAAACTCATAGGTTGCATTAAACCTGAGTTTTTATATCCTTTTCTGAATTTGGATGGGATTCCTTTCTTTTAAAGTTTTTTTTTTTCAAGAACTTGGGTAATATGTTTTTTCTTTCCCCATTTTTTTTTCTGTCTTCTTTGTATGGTTTTTCCCTCTAATGTATAAAGGTTTTATCATGCCCAGTACATTTTAGACAAGCCAATACACTTCTCTTGTATGGCGGCAGTGGGGGGTGGGGAGCGGGTAACTCTCCTGGTCACTGTATAGTTTACTTTTGTCTCATTCTTGTATGTCAATTTCTTCTGCATTATTCAAGCAAACAATCAGAGAAATCTTAAATCTTGACCTTGAAGCTGCAATTGATAGGCACATTTCTCCTACATGAATTCAATTACCTCCTCTGCAATTCAAAAATGAACTACCAAATAAATTAGACATTTCAGAGCTACTTGGAGCCTGGCAACAAGAGAAACCCTAGGTCTTGGTGGAGCAGCAACAGCTGATTTAGCCAGCATGGAATGATTCTGCATCTGATCCCTGCCAGGATAACAGAGGGTCTCATTTACTGTCTCTTCCCTTACTTCTTCTAAGTAGGTACTGTTTTCTGTTTACTTATCCCCTAGCTTTAGGCCCTGGAACAATGTTGAACATAGTGTCACTGGCCCTGGTGCCAGACAGGATCAGGGGCTCTGGAATATTTACAGTTTCCCTTCTTCTGCTTCCATAAATGAAACGGGCAGTCTGAATGGAGGAAATCAAGGGCCAGCTGGCTAAAAACACAACTGGCAACAAAGCACTTGGGCTCCTTCCAAGAGCTGGTGTTTAAAGAGAGGCCATTTAAAGAGCAAATTCCAACCACCATAATAATGGTTCAGGACACTAGCTGTAAGAAGAAACAGTAAGATTTTCCTCCGAAATATTTTTGTTTCCAAAGTTTGGAACCTGTTATATTCCCTCTTCTTCTTAAGAAATTTTCTAGAGTTAGTCAATCCCTTAAAATAGCCAATCAATACCCCTAACAAATGACAAGTATATGTTGTATACTTCTGAGAATTTATATACCTATATATAAATTCTATGCCATGATGGCCAACGTGTTATTCTTGCTTAAGTGCATTCACACGAAAGAAATAAAACTGTTAAGAAATGGAGAAGGAAAAGGAAAGAAATCAAAAATGACATAAGAATTTAGATGGGATAGCATGGCAGAGAGCCAAAGACACGTAAACTAATTTTGGAAGGTTATTAACATATCATGAAGCCAACTGACAAAAGCAGATTTCCTTTATTAAATAAAATAGTATTCCAACTTATATATTTAAGAAAAAATGCAATAATCTTCTTGGGGAGAAATCATATTGGAGCCCTACTGGATAAACAAAACATGTTTTTTTTGTGGTTGCTGAGTTCTGGTAAGACAACCTTGACTGGTCACTTATTAACCCTAGAATCTCTGATAGGTGCCAAATAAAAAAATATATATAAATGCCATATTCAGAGAGATAAATTTAAAATCTAAACAATTCTATACATTATGAGATCATAATTAATTATGTAATCCAGGAGAAAATGAATTTGAAGGTGGGTGAACAAAGCTGCCTCTCTCTCTCTCTCCCCCCTCCCTCCTTCCTCCCTCCTTCTCTCTCAATGATTGGCAAGAGAAATGGAGGAAGGTACCCAGAAAAAAAGTGAAGGGGTTCAGCAGCCAGGTAGGTGCGTGGAACAGCAGTTCTGATGCTATAAATCCCAGAAATGGGTAAAGCCAGTAGCTTGAGACCCCCTGGAAGGCATTACCTCGATATAGGGCACAATCTTACAAGAGAAGTCCTCCAGCAGCCACTTTTTCGTCAGCTCGTGAAAGATGACAAGCGGAAGGCAGAAGAAGATGATGAGAAAGTCCCAGAAGGCCAGGTTGGCCAAGAGGGAATTGGAGATGCTCCGCATGTAGTAGTTGTGACACACGATGCACATCACCGCCAGGTTGCCAATGATGCCAGTCGCAAAGATCACCACAGACAAACACATGACCGCATAGGCGCCGTAGGACTCCTGGGTCAGTGGGTAGAAGGGGTTCTTTATTCTCAAGCGTCGGTTTGTGCTGTTTCCCCGGCGGGGACCCCCGCGCTCGTGGATCCCTTCGCCCGAGGACCCATTCTGGGCCAGCGCCCTGCCAGGGGGTGCAATTGTCCTCCTTTCGTGCCCAGACAGTCCATTGACCGTCTTGGGTGGGGTGTCGTGGTGGGAGCCCTGGAGTTTCCCGCCTCTCCTTGGCCAGTAATAAAGGTCGCTGGCGCCAGGTTCCGTCCTCACACTCTGCTCCTGGCTGTGCCCAGAAATGCCAGAGCCTCTAGGACCCTTCTCTTCCTCCTCTGAGATCTGAAGGAGGAGTTGGAGAGCCGGGGGGTTCCCTCTCGCCAAAGTTCCAGGGGGCTCCTGACCTCGGACACCTTTCCACCTCCAGGCTCCAGGCGGCCTGGCTGGAGGTCCCGAGGGTTCTGCGGTCAACGCCTCCGCCCCTCTGCCTGCACCTGGGTCACCGCCCGGAGCTGCCCTTATGTCCCTAAAGGGCGGTGCGCGCACCGCTGCCCCCTGCTCCTCCTCCCTGAGCGCACGGGCTAGCAGGTCTTCTGCAGAATTTCCCAGTCCCCAAGAGTCCCTGCTGCGACGGTGGCTCAGTGCAGGTGAACAGTTTTCCCCTAGGCAAGTTTCGTTTCTTGGCGAAGAAGCGGACCCGAGGCCAGGAGAGGCAGAAACCTTGAGCAGTAGCAGAAGCAGCAGCCGCAAGGTGCGGGCGAGAGGCGAGCCCGGGGCCCGCATGGCTCGGTGAGGGCGCTCCCCGCGGCCGCGGCTCCCGGTTAGGACCGACACCTGCTGCCTAAGTTGCTGCTGAGAGTTAGACACATGTCACATACTCACCCCCGCCCCGGCAGTGGGGGACGGGAGATTACGGGGAGGTTGGGGGATGGGTCTTGGGTCACAAACTCTCCCCCTCTACAATCCTTCCTCGTTTGGCTTCCCGTGCATCTCTCGGCCGAACCCACCCCGAGCGCTGCGTATCCCCCCCCCCCCCCGCAAGGTTCAGAGAGGGAGTCACTGCTCCCGACGGCTGACCTTGAAAAGTTGTAACCAACACCTGACTGTTGATGAATGTTGCTACCGGGAGAAGCCCGGACCAAGCCCCACGTTCCTCCCTGCCTTTGGGTGGTTGCCTTCTTGGTAACAGTTGCTCTGCCTATTTACATCCTTTCGATACAGCTTTATCCAGTTGGTAACCGTTGTGCTGCCTTTTTACATCCTTTCAACCGCTTTGTCCAGTTGTAAGCCGAGGTCGCTACAGGGGGAGAAAAACAAGCTCCCCTTCTTCAGATGACTGGCAGCCACAATCCCGCTCCCGGCTCGCTGGAAACAGGTTGCAAACAGCCAGACGCCGCGCAGACGCGCCCGGGAAACTCTTGCCCCACCTAACCCCAGCGACTCGCCAGGCCGCTGCTGCCGTGGAGAAGCGGGATGCGACACCCGTGGTCACTGTCAAAGTTGCTTCTCCTCCAGCTCAAAGTTGACCAGGGGGCGGTGCCGGCTGCTGGGCGGTGCGTCCTGGCGGAGAAGGGAGTCTATGGCGGGAGTGAGGAGGGCGGGCGCCGCTCCTCGGTGGACGGTGCCGTGCCGGCGGCCGAAAGAGCTGGTGGCGGCGACAGCGGGCGCTACCCGGGCGGAGAGTGTGGTGCCTGGAGCCGCCGCGGGCCAGGCGGTGCATGGCCGGAAAGGGGGAGGTGGCCCGGCCTCTCCCCGCGGCTCCAGTCGCTGCGCGCGAGGGCGACACCCAGCGCTCCGCTCCTTGCCTCCTCCCCCTCCTCTGCCTCTTCGGAGAGATGCCGGTTTGTGGGGAGACTGGATTCCCTGGTGGTTTACGACTCATTAAACCCACACACGTTTCATTCAAGCCCTTTGTAGCTGCTTTCACTCGTAGGAGCTGGAAGCGGAGAGGGAACAAGGGCGGGGCGCGGAGCTAGGGATGGGCGGGACACGTTAATTCCCCAGATGTCGGAACCAGCTTGACAGGTCCCAGAGCCGGGTGGGGAGGAGCAGGGGCGAGACCCGTGCTTTCTCTTCCCATCCGCCGTGCGCATGCCCAGGCCTCGGCCCCGAAGGAGGAGTAAGGTGAGCAGCCCGCTCACCTCCTTCGGTATTCCCAGGGGCTGAGACTCGAGAGAAAGGAAGCTCAGAGGTTTCCTTCGCAGAGAAGGAGCAGTTCCGGGAATGGGACGCACAGTGAAAATGTCCAGGATGCATCGTTACCTTTAACACCGAGTTAGGATGCAGGCTAACAGGGGTTACTTAGAATGCCCAGAGTACAAAGAAAGTAGTTTCGTTTGATGAACTAGTGGGAAATGACAGGTGGGCGAAAATTAACTTGGCATGGCTGACCATGCCTTTCCAACCTTTAGCAGGAAGCCTGCTAAAGCTGTTCAGGGTATAGTTGGTAAGACAGACACATATAACATAAAATGGGCAAACTGATTAAGAGAGAAAGTGACAGACGAAGAAAAAAAAAAACACATTTTGAAATGAAAAAAAAAAAGGCAACATCTAGAAAGAAGAGAAAATACAATGAAAAATATGATGCCAATTGTGACAGGTATAGAACAATGGCCCTCCAAAAGATGTCCACATCCTAATTCCCAATACCTGTGAAAATCTGGCAAAAGGGACTTTGCAGATGTGATACAGTTAAAGATCTTGAGATAGGAAGAATTATCATCCAGGTGGGTCCACTGAAATCACAAAGGTCCTTACAAGAGGGAACTGGAAGGGTCAGAGTGGTGCAATGAGCCAAGCAATCTCTAGAAGCTGGAAAAGTCCCCGCTTGCTCATTTTACACTTCTGACTTCCAGAACTGTAAGATAATGAATCTGTGTTGTTTTAGGCCACTAAATTTGTAGTGATTTGTTGCAGCAGCAATAATAAACTAATATACCAATTAACCTAAAAATGTAGACAGCAACAACGATTTTATTGGAAAATATTAGCTACCAAAAATAGCTCAAGAAGAATGTTTTTAGAAACCTGAGTAGAACCTTAACATTAAAGAAATGAAATCATTCCTCACGTTCTACTTATCAGAAAGCACTAGACAGTATCGAATCCTAAGGGGTAATTATGCTTTATATGAAATGTCTGATAGCTGCCCAATTCATTTTGTGAAGTCAGAATAACCTTTAACCTTAATATCAAATTGGAAAACGCCAGAAAAAGGGAAAAAAAAGGGTTAATAGCACTCATTTATACATTAGTTCATCTACATATAATAATTCTCTCAAGTGCATGAATCCATTAAACAAATAGTCTGCTCACATTATTTAGGGAAGAGCAGTGAACAAAATAAAGGTCTGCTCCCTCTGAATTTACGTTCTCTTGGGGGAGACAGATAGTAAACAAATAAGTATACAATACATCAGATGATGATAAGTGCTAGAGAGAAAAGAATGGAGAGTAAGGAAGTAGAGTAATGGATTAGGGAAATATGTTAAAAGGATGGGCAGGGAAAGCCTTCTTAATATAAAAGGTGATTTTTGAATACTTACTAACATATATCCAATAATCCCAGATAAAACCTTGACGAACCTTCAACACTACCTGTTTTATTTTTAAATACGGCATATAATAGGGTTTATCCCAGAAATATCAGGATAGCCTAACAGAATATTTTTTTATAATTTATGAAATTAAGCAATTTATGAAAAGAAGGACAAAGATATATTTATGTCAACAGATGCAGAAGAAGCATTTGGTTAAATGCCATCATCATTCATTATTAAAACTGTTAGCAAACTCCTTTAGAAAAAAAACACACTTTAATATAACAAATGTTAATTTAAAAATACAGCAAACATTAATGTCAAAATAACAGACACATTCCCTTTAAAATGAAACAAGACAGGACTACCTCTTCTATAATCAGCACTATACTGAAAATACTTATCAATGCAATAAGACAAGAAAAAGAAATAGTTGTAGTAAAGAAGTACAGTTGGTGTTATTTGTAGATTAGATAAGCCTACATACAAAATTTAAAGCGAATTAAGGTATCAAGGCTTATATAGCTACAGTAACAAAAAGAGCATGATACTGGTGCAGAGTGTGCCAAATAGATCAATGAAACAGAACAGAAAAGAGGTAAGCATGCATAAACTTATGTTAGAATTTGACATAGCAAGAGAACTGCTGTTACAAATAGTTGGAATCGGGGGCCTGGGTGGCTCAGTCGGTTGAGTGTCTGACTTCAGCTCAGATCATGATCTCACGGTTCATGAGTTCGAGCCCTGCCCACATCAGGCTCCGTGCTGACAGCTCAGAGCCTGGAGCCTGCTTCAGATTCTGTGTCTCCCTCTCTCTGACCCTCCCCCACTCATGCTCTGTCTCTCTCTCTCTCTGTCAAAAATAAATAAACTTAAAAAAAAAAAAAACAAATAGTTGGAATGGTTGGACTGGACAATAAATGGTACTGAAAATAATTGACAATCCATAGAGGGAAAAAATAGAGTTATATTTCTCTTTTCAATGCTATATATAAAATATATTTCAGATTAAAGATTTTAATATGAAAACCAAGTATTTAAAACTTTGAGAAGAAAATATAGGAAAATATTATGACGTAAGAGTAGGAAAGATTTCATATGATTGAAGAAGAAAAAGTGTAAAAAATAATAACAATAAATATGATTATCTTCAAGTTTTACATTTCTGAACCAACAAGGAAACCAACAGCAAAGTTAAAATCAAGCTACAGGTTTGAAGCCAACTGTGGTACAAAAAGAATGGTAAGATCTAGTGCTGCCTATCAGTGAGAGAAAAGTCTAGCTCCAGTGGGTCTTTTAAAGACACAAAACATGCTACCGTACAGGTTTACAACTGCCCACCTGAAATACAAAGTAATCACCCAGCACACTCACTCAAAGCTGAATTATTATTACACAAATCATCATAACAAAGTGATACAATTTCTATTAATTTGCATGCACTTTGGTAAAACTGAGAGGGCTTCCCAAGGTGGTCCCCCTAGCAGTATCCCTGTTGGGGACAACTTATTAAAATTTTGCTCTAGGATGAAGAGGAGCAAATATGGGAACACTCATGCATGCTGTAGTCTTGAGGTTATTTACTACCATTTTATCATTTTCTCTCAAATAATCCACGTTCCACAGAGATCTTCAGAACTTACTTTTTGTCCTGCAACAGGGCAAACAGACTGGCTTCCAATATCTACAAAAACACCTATAAAGAGAAGCAAAAAAGATTAATTTTAAAAAGATGGGCAAAGGATGAGATCAGGAATTTCACAAAGTTAGAAATTCAAATGACCATTAACAATGTGGAACTATGGGGGTACCTGGGTGGCTTAGTTGGTTAAGTGTCGGACTTCGGCTCAGGTCATGGTCCTGCGGTTTGTGAGTTCGAGCCCTGTGTCAGGCTCTGTGATGACAGCCTGGAGCCTGCTTCAGATGCTGTGTCTCCCTCTCTCTCTCTGCCCCTCCCCTGCTTATGCTCTGTCTCTCAATAATAATAAATAATCATCAAAAAACTTTTTAAAAAACAATGTGGAACTACGGTCAATCTAATAATTAGAGAACTGCAAATTATAATAACAATGGGATGCCATTTTACCTCTATCCAACTGTTTGACACGGTAGGAAGAAATGGGAGCTGTCATAACCTGCTCTTGGAAGACAGTATTTTGTCAATACCTTAAAAAAGTTGATGACGGGGCGCCTGGGCGGCTCAGTTGATAGAGCATCTAACTTCGGTTCAGGTCATGATCTCAGGGTCCGTGAGTTCAAGCCCCGCGTCAGGCTCTGTACATCCAGCTCAAAGCCTGGAGCCTGCTTCAGATTCTGTCTCTCTTTCTCTCTCTCTCAAAAATAAATAAACATTTAAAAAAATTAAAAAGGGGGCACCTGGATGGCTCAGTTGGTTAGGCATCCGACTTTGGCTCACGTCATGGTCTCATGGCTTGTGGGTTCAAGCCCCACATGGGGCTCTGTGCTAACAACTCAGAGCCTAGAGCTCGCTTCAGATTCTGTGTCTCCCTCTTTCTCTGCCCCTCCTCTGCTCATGCTCTGTCTCTCTCCTTCAGAAATAAACATTAAAAAAATTTATTTTAATTAAAAAAAAAAAGTTGACGATGTTTATACCTTCTGAACATGAAACACTACCCTTAAGAATAAACCCTAGAGGAGCTCTTGAATGTGGGCATAAGGAAACCTTTATACTTGTTTTTAATAAAAAGAATGGAAACATTGCAAATGTCAATCAATATACGAATGGAAAAATTAATTGTAGTATATTCATGAAAAGGACAAACCAGACTTACACATATCAACAAGGCTGAATCTGAGAAATATAAATGTCAGGGGAAAAAAGCAAGATTCAATGTCAACTATACTATGCTGTCATTTGTGTAACTCTTAAAAAGAACAGAAAACACTATGGTAAACCACACATGATATATCACAAAAGTATAAAATATATGGAGGAAAAAATACATATCAGCTTCAGAATATTAGTTACCTCTGGGGCTAGAGGGACGGGAATGGGATGAGAGAGAGCTTCTACTCTGTCGCATTTCATATTTTGTTTAAAAAAAAAAAAAACAATTCAAGAGGGGGTAATCTGGGTTAATTCCAGAACAAGAAAAAATAGTTGCCCAAATAAAACCAGAGGT